CAGTTTCAGCAATAAGCAGCCAATTTATTGACATTGGCATGAAGCATTATTTACAGTTGTATGTCGATTAGGAATGACCATAGAACAGGCACAGTAACCATTCAAGTCCAATCATTTTTTCTAGGTAATGCTGATTTGGCAGCATTTTTACTTGTTATTGGGGAGGTGTTTGATCCTAGATGTAAAGTAATAGTTCTAGTATATTGGGATTCTATTATGCAAAAAATTTAGCTCACTTGATCATGGTAGATAATAACTTTTATGCAATTATTTTAAACAATGAACTTTATACACGTGTGTGCTGATATGGTTCTGTTTACAGATGTGGGTTGCTTCTTTCTATCGGTAGAACATGTAGAACAGATTTTGTGCTTAATACGATACTTTTGAGATTGACAAAATAATAGATATTGAAAGAGTTCAAACTGTGCAACATTATTCTTGTTCATACAGGACTGATGTAGCATCTTAGCTTCCCCTAAGTGGACAGAAAAGTTTCCCATTATAGGAACTTCCAAGTGTTCTGTTAGTTTTGCCATTAATATGTTAAGTAAGAACCATGATCATAGCACATTTTTCCCTCTCTGTTGGGGGTTTTTGTGGATAAATTTACATTTTTGTCTCTTTAGATCACATTCAAATTCCACTTGTACTGTAGAGTTTGATGAAGCTGACAATTGTAATCATTATGATGAAACTGAGGTCAGTAATTGTACATTTTAGGTACAATCATGGAAAAAAATGTTTGTATTGATTTTTATGAATATGAATAGGCGCTTTTAATGGTGTTATCACCTTAAAGAAAACGTAGAGTTAAACTTCTGTTGACTAGTTTGCAACTTGTTTAAGGGCTTATGCAAAAAATGCCCTCCATGCTAGCAGCATTCTTTATGTCTATTTTCAAGCTTTAGTTACTAGAGAAACCTTTTAGCCCACTGGCCATGAAAGAATGAGGTGATGATAGTTTTGATAATTTTGTGTGGCACTCATTTTTTTACTTATCATTGGTCTACGCTATTTTGTTGTTGTTTTCAGAGACTTCTTGGTGTGGCAGGTTCAGGAGGCTTGGTAAGTTTATTATAACTTCACAGACGTATACATGCATGTGTACATAAATGCATAGTGCCAAATACTGGAGGCATCATCATCCACCTAAGTATGAGTTTGGCAGGGATGAATTTTAGAAAATGTTATGCAACTTTCATGGTGACCTTTTGGGTGAATTTTTAAGCCACCTTTTTTACAACTTTTTCTGGGACTTTTTCAGGGACTTTTTTAGCGACTTTATTTATCAAATTTTTAGCAACCTTTTTGAACAACTATTTAAGGTAGCTGGGAAAATTTTTCTGAGACACCTACTGGCTTTATTCAGAATGCCCCAAAATTCTCACCTGCACCTCTTTGTGTTCACACCAATTTCACTTATTTATTGACTTAAGGATTAAGGTTAGAAATAGTGGATATGGCATGGCAATCACCTTTATTATACTAATGTTATGTGGAAATACTTTAAAACAGCTTTGCTGGCAGTTAATAGATTTTCTCACAACTTCAGATTTTCTTTCTTGAGGTAAAGCCTTGCTGCTGAGTGAATTTTAAGAAATTAAATCAAGCCATTTCAAACTTATGATGCAGTTGAGTTAATTAACTCTTGTTGAAGTTAAAGGCCACAATGTCTACACTGTCTGGCATAAACCTTCAACCAATTTGGCAGCAAATGAAGTAGCTTGCACCAGTAATAGAGTAAATAGCCCTCTTGTCTGCCTTCATCACAATTTCATTCATGTCACTGATGCACAGTGCAAAAGGGGGTTGAAGTGGCAATTAACTCCATAACTTGTTGTGGCATCCTGAATTTCCCTCTTATCCAAAGCTTTTAACTCCTTCAGCTCCTTATTTCTTCCAACAAATATGATGCATTGTCTCAAACAACTATATGTAGCCTTTAGCCGCGGTGGAAGGCCACTGAGGAGAAAGCATTTAAAAAGGAGTCAATTTTCAGGCTGAAGGCTACATATAGTTCAAGGTACACAGCATTAGTCCCTAGCATGCAAATAGGCACAGATATACTGTCGAACTCTGATTATCTGGACTCGTTGGGAATAGACGAAATAGTCCATATATTGGAGGGTCCGGATAATGAGAATATGAATTTTAATGAGGAACAAAAACTGATTAAACTAAGAAATCAACATTTAATGGTGAGAAAAAATGTTTACAAATTGTTCTGAAAAAAAAAAAGTAGTCTACATATTCACTGTCTATTGTGAATACTTCCAAAATAGTTCAGTCTTTCTTCAAAGCTGCATAATCTGGATAGCGTCAACATTGTTCTGTTTTTCTGTCTGTAATAAACACTTTTTAAAACATTCAACAGCTTCAGAGTTTGAAAAAATTTCCTCATCTTGACCTTCATCTTTCTCATTGCTGCTACTTTCATCTTCGAAAGAAAACTGTCCAACAATGCTATCTAAAATCTGCTCATTGGACAACTGTGGCAAAGTTGGTAGCTCATTTTCATTGAGTAACAAAGCAACTCTAAGCCAACCAGAACTTATTCCAAATGTTCTTCATTAGTTACAACGCATGTGAGTGCTGCTTTTGCTTTTTGAAAGCAAATCAAACTTGCCTTAACTTCACTTTTCAATGCTGTAGTTTTAAAAAAGAATATGGCTTTGGATCTTGATCATGACTAATAAATATTCAAGACAAAATTGGGGCCACAGAAAAAGTGCGAATAATTGAGAAATCCAGATAATGGAGGTCCAACTATATATTTCAGTTGCATATTTCCTCTCCCTTGTCTAGTGGTAAATGGTCTACCAAAGTCAGCTGATTTTTTACCAAAGGTCTCTAGGACTTTTGAGTGTACAGTTCAGGTAAAGGTGCCTTAATCTGCTTTGCTGTGGTGGCTTTGTTCTTCAAGGCCGCATGCATTCCTTTTCCCACTTTTTTACTTTGAAAGTTCTGCCAGAACCTGAGTAGTCCCCACTTGTAGGTTCTTGACATGAGTATCCTTTGGTCATGATCCATTGACTCTGAGGAAAAATTATAGGATGGCAGGTCTCGCAGGGTAGACACTTGGTTAAGCTAAGCCTTCCATAGCAAGACAGAATCTCATCCAGAAGAACATTTATTTTATTTTCAACCTTTGTCCTCCACTGGTCAGGTACACTGGGACAATTCACAAACTCAGAAGACAGTGAGGATTTATGTCCAGTTTTGCTGGTGAGTGTTCACTGAAGAAACTCCCCTAATGTGTTGGAGTTGGTTGTTGATGCACTTGGTGAATTTAAACAGTTTTGTTTTGAAGTTCACTCCTGCTCTGAAGTTCTCATGAAGCAACGGATTGTGGTGAGACTGACACCCAGCTACTTTACAGACCCACAGTTGGGTTGGTCACATATCTTGGACTTCACATGCCTTTGGCTAGGACTATAACTTTCTTCCTTGGCAAAGAAGATCCTCTCTTTTTTTCAATCATTCTTTAACAACACCAATTATTGTCTCAGAAGCTGTGGTCATAAAATTTACCTCTTTGGTCAATGAACTCCCTCAACATTTTAACATTCTCAGTCCTGTGGTCATTGCAAACCTATTGTTTGTATTTTGCAAGAAGAGCCTTCTTTAACTCATGCTGGAGAGATGTAGAGTACTCTATTTCCAAGTTCTGCTTCCTGATTTACTTTGGTGAGGCTCACAACTATAGCATCCAGAAGCTCAGCAAATCTCTTTGAACCTTTTTTGTTTCCTTCTCTCAGCTGTTTTAAGGTATCTGTTTCTTCGAGATGAGTGCTCTATGTTTGTCTCCTTGTTTCCCCTTAACATGAGGACTCTAAAGCCATGCTTTACAAGACTGTCCAACCAGTTAGTATTGTCTGACCAAAAAAGAATTAATATTAATAACTAGTTCCAATGGTGTTACGAAGTAAAATGGTGCAGATTGAACTAAATCTAGCTGAAATGGTTCCACTAGTTATAAAACTGGTCTAGCTAGATTAAATTTTCTATCTGATCAACATTGACGAACCAGTTAAAAAGGTTTAACTACAACGAGTAGTAAAAGTCTTGACACACTCTATTCCTTTTTTAATCTCTCTCATGTCTGGGCAAAACTTAATGGTTGCTGATCAAGTGCAAGCACAAAGATTGCCTAAACCATGACCCTTTATCCATTTCTGTGTTTCTAGTTACTAAGGGGGCAAAAGTTTAATTGGTCTAACAGGCAATAATGGTTCAACTGGGAAAGGTTCAGACCTTATGGCTCTTTATGGTTGCCGGTGAGGTCAGGAGAAACCAGTTGAAGTTAACCTACATTATCATTTTCATTATCAAATGAAACATACCAGACACTTTTTTTAGCAACTAAAGTTGCCCATCTTTTGAAGGACCTCCCTAGTGACTGTTAGAGTAAGACAATTTGATAAAAAAAAACCAGGAACTGCCCCATTGTGTCAATCCTGCACTGCAATTGAAATTGTCACTTAAAAAAGCAGCCAAGGGGACAATTTGTCCCCTTCAAAATTTAAGGAAAAAACTCAAAAGGAAGCTAAGTACACACGAAGAGTTTTAGTTCAATACAGAAACTGAAAATTATATTTTATCGCACATCTAAAGTTCATTCTAAAGTCACGTTACAGTCATGCTCTACTGTATATGTACATCTCATGCTCAACCAAGGGTGGTGAACACACCTGGCAATCTTTACTGTGCTTTTCACAAATGTGCAAACTCTATTGTGCAAAAGCCGCCTTCACAATTGCGTTTTTCACTGCCATCAATCTTAATTACGATCACAAGCAATGAACCTTGAAACACAGAAACACACAAAACGGATTGAAATCCACCAATCACAAATCACAAACCATGACCTTTTGAGCCCATTAAAGTTGTTTCCTAAAAGGGCTGTTAAAATGATTGATGGCAGCGAAAACACAATCATCCAAAATGCAGAATTGAATGGAACTTTGTTAAAGAGCTGGTTGTTAGAGAGCATTACCCTGTGGGCCACATTGCTGAACTATGGAAAATGCTCACTACCCATCATAGCAATGAGGTCCAAAATTTAATTAAGCTTTGTCAAGTCGCACTTGTATTGCCTACTAATACGGCTGGCTGTGAAAGAGGTTTTAGCGCACAGAATCAAATTAAGAATGCTTTGAAAAACGGATTGAAAGCTGAGAGGCTGGATGTGCTCATGACCATTGACATTGGCTACCTTTCAAGGACTTTGACTTTTCTACAGCCCTTGATGTTTGGGCTAGAACCAACAGAAGAATTAGTACATGTATATCCACGAGTAATTAAGAAAAGAATTGAAGTTTACAAGGGGATACTGGGATGAGATTTTGCTGTGGAATGTTTTGAAGTATAAAGCATAGTCATTGATCTTCTGTTTGAATATGACAAGAATGGTCATGGTTTATGGCAAAATATGAAAAAACATTGGATTTTTTGGCCTGTCCATCACTTCTCTATATCCTCAGAAATACACTCTTAAAATGGTACAACTAGATAAAATGGTCCAACAGGCTAAGATGGTCTTACCAGGCTAAAAGGTCCCACCAATTAAAGTGGTCTAACCAAAAACAATTATGGAAATGATAAAAATGGTCTCATCAGGTGAAATGTCTCAGCCAGTGGAATAGGTATAACTAGGTAAAATGATTATAGAAGGCAAAATGATCTAAGCAGATAAACCCTTCAACTGGTTAAAATGCTTTAACATGAGAAAGTGATCAAAACTGATTTTAATTGTGTAACCAGCGAAAATGGTTCAATCTGTGAAATGGCTTAGGGAGATAAAACAGTACAACTGTTAAAATGGAGGAACTAAATATAATTGTCTAACTGACTAAGATCGATGGTCTAACCAAGAAAAAAAGTCCAACAGGTTAAAATGCTGTTACTAAAAAAATGGTCTAGCTAGATTAGATGGTCCAGCCACTTACATTCGCTAATTAGCTAATAAAAATGGTCTGCTAGGTTATGCATCCTAACCAGGTAAAAACATCCAGGTGGTTGAAATGGTCCAACTGCTTCAAATGGACAACTAAATTAAATTGTCCAACAGGCTAGGATGGTCTTACTAAGTTAAATTTTCCAACTGGTTAAAGTAGTTTAACTAGAAAGAATGGTGGAAATGGTTAAAATGATCTTAACAGATGAAATGTCCGAACCAGTTGAATTGGTCTGACTAAGTAAAATGACTGAATGGTGTAAATGGCTAAAATGGAATAACTAGATAAAATGTTGCAATTGGTGAAAATACTCTAACTAGATAAATTGGTCCTCTTGGATAAATGGTCTAACTAGAGAAAATGATCCAACTGGTGAGGATGTCCTAACAGATATAACTTTTCAACCAATAGAAGTGGCCTCTAGTTTAACAAAATCTTGTGTTAAACAATACTTTTTTAACATATCATCATTCAAACATAGCATTTTCCAGGCCATAGAATCTTCAAATTGTCCCTTGGCATTGCTTGAAGTCTGAGAGTTTGGTTGTCACTTTAAGGCCACAATTCGTATCACTTCAGAGAATGGTAGTGTCATTGACTCAGAAGCTTATTCTGTCACTTTTAAGACTTTGATATCCATTATTTTTCAAGCAAAATATTCTGCAGCATTTTTACTTGTCATTTTGAGTTCCAAAAGGTCTAATTCTATTTGAGAGGAATGGAAACCTGACTTGGAAATTTTGAGTCTAACCAGATGAAATAGCTTAATAAGCAGTCGAAGTCCAACCTATTTTAAAAGTGCTGTTACCAGACAAGAGGATGTACTGGTAACCTGTGAAAATGGTCTTACTAGTTTGAATGGTCTACCAAGGTAAAATGGTCAAACAGGTTAAAATTATCCACCAGATAAACTTGTTTAAATGGTCAAACAAGATAACAGGTTGCAACCAGATAAATGGTTAAATAAGATGGTCCAACTGGTTAGAATGGTGTACCTACTTGATAAAATAGTCCAACAGGTGTAAATGGTCTTACTGTGGAAATCCTCCAACCTGTTTAAATGGTCTAACTGGATAATGAGAGTAAATCATTTCAATGGTCTAGCTAGGTAGAATAGTCCAACAGGTGAAAATGGGATAACCAGATGGAAATGTGAAAATGGTCCAACTAAAATAAAATGGTCTAAGCTCTGAAAATGCTTTACCTAGATAAAAAATGGTCCAACTTCTTCTGGAATCGCTATAAAACTATTTCAAACGGAAGCTTCAAGTTTTCAAAGAGAAGAACTTCTTCATGGTAGTGATCAGACTGTGGTTGGTAGTGATCAGACTGGTAGGAAAAGTGCATGGTAGCAACTGGACCATAATTCAAATGGTTTATTTAGGCAAAATGGTCGAACAGGTTGAAATGTTTAACAAGATAAAATCTTTCAACTTGTGTTAGAGCTTGAACAAGATAAAATGGTTGAATCTGTCAGAAAAGTCTAACTAGATGATAAAGTCCAACTACTTAAAATGGTTTAATTAGATAAAATGTTTCAACCGGTTAAAAAATGTTGAGTCAGTTACCAATTCTTTTGGAACATGTAAACAATTTCATAGATCTTGGTGTCACAATATCAAAGGTTCTCTCTTGGAGCAATGATATTAAAAAAATTATGGATAAAGTGAGCAAAGTGCTTCATTACATCAAATTTTTGCTAGGAACACTAATGCAAATGTTTTTTCCTCACTGTACCTTTCCCCTGTATGTCCAATCTTGGAATACATGGTACCTGCCTGGTAGTTATCTTGCCATGGACACTCATCCCCTCAGGGGTATACAGGGAAAAGTGTGGAGAACAGCTTCTGTAGCACAAAGGGGAGATATTATGTGAAGACTGCTTAAATTCCCTACCCTTTTAGATTGTAAAACTTATTTTATCTTTAATTTAATAATACAAGATAGTCTTTGGCTATTACAAATTTGTGGAGTTTTTTAACTCACTACGGTAAAAGTCAACAAACTTTTTTCAAATCTGTGCAACTCGATTGTTTTTCAGACTTTGTAAACATTCCTCTTTTAATGACTGTGAATGTATGAAATGTGTTAGCTGCAGTTTTCAAGAAATGATTATGAAAGTGATCTTCACAGTGATGATCACTACTAAGGTAGTAGGGTTCAAAAGGCCTTTGCAATACTGATGCACCAAATTCTCCTTAGCTAGATGGTTGAAACACAGTTCTTCCTGTTTAGTTATTGCTGGACATGACCCCCTGCTGGATATTACTGTCTTGATGGATATTTCTAGGAATCCAGGTCCTACAAACGATTTATTTGATATCTGCTCTGGCGGTCAAAATCTGGTTCATGGCGGAAATTTGCATATTTCAAGTTCGACTCAAACAATAAGCCCATCAAATAATGGACTGGGAGCAAGGTTTGGAATTCCATCGCTGATTACAATGCGGCCGACTGTCACCTCTGGTTATAACAGGCCAGTATTTCGC